CACTGTCTAATTAGAGACATTTAATTAGATCACATGAAGCCTTTGTCCACAGACTTGTAGCAGCATCGACACTTCTCTGTTTCTCTGACCCCTAGATGGCAACTTCTGACCTGACCTATAGACTTTCCTGAGGTAATACGCCCGTGTCAGCTGTCCATGATGAATCTGGCCATTAAAGAAAATCATTCAAACTAAATAAAAACAAAATTACATGAGCATTAGATCAAAGACTTAATGATTTCTGGGAGTTTTCTTGCGGACGTCCTCTGTCACTTTTCGAGGTTGAACAGATGCGTCCTCGCCATTTTACTTTTTGTTTTTCCCGCACAGAACAATAATTTTTAAAATCACTCCAAATTTCAGATCTAAGTAACATATGTAGCAAACAAAATAAAATTTAAATTGGGGCTATTTAAAAAAAATGCATTTTTTTTTTCAAATGCTAAGCCAGGTGACAATGAGCTAAAATAGTGTTTGTCAACAGTGGGTTTTAACTGTGGAGGTCAGGCAAGAAATAATTTGAGTGTCCTTTTAATTATTTTCACCATGCATTATTATTATTATTATTATTATTATTATTATTATTATTATTATTATTATTATTATTATTATTATTATTATTATTATTATTATTATTATTATTATTATTATTATTATTATTATTATTATTATTATTATTATTATTATTATTATTATTATTATTATTATTATTATTATTATTATTATTATTATTATTATTATTATTATTATTATTATTATTATACATGTGAGACATCTTTCCATTCAGATTATAAATTGTTGTATTTTTTTTTCAATCTATCCATTGCAGCAGCATTAGCACCTACTAGGCTCTTAGCTTGTTTGTCTGACAAGATGTATTTAAGGAGCTCACTGCTGACCTACAGAGGCCTCAGACAGGCTTTAGGGACAGGCAGCAATTGGTGTCAAAGAGAGGCCAAACAACAGTGATTTATAGCCAGACTGATTTGACTGGTGAGAAGCCGCTGCTGCTGCTGCTGCTGCTGCTGCTGCTGCTGCTGCCACAATTACCTTTACTGCTACATTCACACTGACTGGATGCTATACCAGCAGCTGATTCAAACACACACATGCATGCACACACTCCTCTTCCTCTCTTACAAGTGCCGTTCATGTTTGAGTGCTGGAGCTTCTGTTTCTTGGTTTCTGCCTCGTCCACTTAAAAGGGCATTAATCTGCAGCTACTTTATAAATCAGGGGGTCCTCGCAGGCTCACAGCGATTATGAGGTCAGGGCTCTGCAGAAGTACTTAACCAATTCCCAGACCTGATATATTTTGTTTCCTTGCAGCCAGGCGATTCATCATCATTCCCCCACTGAGGCGTAATGGAGCAGGCAGCCAGGGCAGGGTTGATGTTAAGCAAAGGTAAAGAGAAGGAGAGAACGACAGGATGGGAGAAAAGGAAGACAAGATGAAAATAAGGTCCCCTCACCCTCCTCTCTTACCCCCTCCCCTCTCCCTCCCAGACAGACTGAGTCTCCATCTCTTACTTGCTCCTCTTTTCTTCTCAAATCCCTGGACACTCTGGGCCACTTAGCTCCATCCAGGCCCATTCATCGCTGCTCTACAGCAGCCTCCTTATCATTCCAGGGGAAAGCTGAGGCAGACGCCTGGTGGAGGAGGGCCCCGGTTCTCAACGCAGCTCCTTGGGTTTGGTTCAGGAACTTAGTTAAAAGGATGTAGAGTGGAACTTACGTAGAGAGGTTTGTTTGTATAAACCTCAATAATAAAGTCACTGAAACTTCAGTTAGAGAGAGGAAACTACTGACACACGAACAAAGAAAAACAGAAGACAAGGGAGAAGCCCTTAGCTACATGGCTGCAGGCTAATGCCCCCGGGGTAGATTTTTTTTTCTTCTTCTTCTCTCATTGTTGCTGCCAGCTGAAAATGGAGCCCATCAGTCAAGTTAAAATGACACCAACAGTCCATTAAAGAGTTAATACAAAATAAAATGTATATATTATATATTTAATATATGTTTGTAAATGTAGAGACACATTTAATCTGTTTAAAATATATATATATTTTTCACAAATACATTGATTTTGACAGCTCTAATATCTGAGTCAATATATGAATCCATTCTCCAAATTCTGTTTTACAATCTTGATATAGAAGCTGCAGTTTTTTTTCTGCACAACTACAGCTTAAAATGGATTCACAACACCTTTGGGATTGTGTCTTTTCACCAAAGCTGTCACTGACACAGCTCTACATTCAAAAACACAGAGGGTAGATGCATGACATCTGTGTATTTCCTCCAATCGTATCTGCACTCAGGTGCTTTACCTTCGTTCACCTGTGCCTCAGCTGATCCAGCTCCTGGATGGAGGAGGAGAGACACAGTGTCTTTCTAAGTTGAGAGCATGAGGAAGGAACGAAGGGCAAAAAGAAGGAGGAACAAAGAACTAATCCAAGGGGCAACAAGGGAAGATATGCAGGAGTGAAAATAGTTTTTTTTTTCCTCCACCACCTCTAGACCTGCGTGAATCTGACGGAGCAGGATGTAAAGTGGATGTAAAGTAGAGAAGACAGTTTCCATTACCGCTGGCACCCACCGGAGAATAATTTGCTGAGGCTGGGTAAATTGTGATTTAAGGAGTGTAATGATGTGTAATAATTTTCTGTCACAGTTGTCAGTTAGTAGACGCGGCACGCCTACTCAGCAGGGGGGAGGAGTGAGGACGCGGCGACGTGCGGAAGTTGGACTTAAATTAAACAATAATACCACATGTTTTACTTTACTTGTACTGCTAAGATACTACATTAATGTGACAGTAGTTGATCATTTCTAGGAATCATTCGCTGTGTTGGACTGTGTGACCGACACAGTGAAAAAATATTATTATCTGCAGGTTGTACCAATGGGTCAAGGCACTGCTGTTGGTGTTTTTTACTCCTCCTGTCAGGTGTGTGTGTCCCTCCTGGGTTAATCAGTGTCATCACACTCACCTGTGACTCTGTGTCAATCAGTCTCAGTGCTCTCACCTGGTGTCCTGGTATATAAACCCTGTCTCCCTCCCTCCCTCTGTTTGGTCTGTGTGTGTATGAGAGAGAGAGGGATTCTGGTTCCTGTTGGTCCAGTCTTGGTCATGGTTCCTGGTTCCTGTTGGTCCAGTCTTGGTCATGTTCTCTCCATGTTCCTGTTCTCCAGGTCTGTGTTCTGGTTCTTTCCGATGCATTTCTCCTTTGTCCCTGCCTGTCCCCGTTTGCCCTGAACTGAGACTCCGTTTCTGTTGGATTTACTGCCAGACTTTAATAAATCTCTGCCCCTGATTTCTTTTTCAACTTTTTTTTGCATATTTTCACCTGATATCACACTCAGTTGAACCTTTATCGTCTCACTGCCCAACATCTCCTGACATCCTGTATGTAGTCAATAATAAACTGACCTTATTGGTGTTTATGCCTCATCACAGGCTCCAGTAGAGCAGTGAATCATCAGCTCTGACTGATTATGCCATCACTTCTACTGCAGCTTTATCCTGGACGTGCACAGGTTTAGGACAGAGGAGGAAAAAGTTGTTTTTTTAGCAGAATTCCGTAGGACCATTTGAAAAGTATCGATTAATATGCAACAAAGTACAGTGATACGGCTGGAAATCATTAAAAGTATGGAGAAAAAGTGATGGAGCCAGAAATGACGGCAAGGCGGCGATGTTTTTTAAAAAAAAATGTACAGATAAGGAGTGGGTAGTCCATTTCAATTATTCAATTCAGTTTATCATTGAAAACATGTGGTGCAGTACAGTGGTGTCACCAACAATCAGTGTAATGCAAATTGTGTGCCTCATTTCTCTTCTCCCCTGTTTGGTAGACAGTGTTATTTGTAGCAAGTTATAGTTATCACTGAGCAATTCTTCATAAATGGCAATACATTAAAAAAAAAATTCTTTTTTTTTTTTTTTTCCCAGTTTGGCAGATTAGTGCTACAGGCGTACATGTGTTTATCACAGCAGTATCTCTATTACAATTCCCCGGCTCAACAGAAATGCATAATGCATTCATGCGTTACACAAAATACCATAAATCAAAAGGAGTATAAAATGTATTACAATATTGCACAGTGATTAAGTGGCGGTGACAAGACTAATTCAACATCTCTTTCTGTCCGCGATGTTCTGCTGCACGGCATAAAGTGTTTGTGAAATTACAGGAACGATCCCTGCCTTCTTTGTCTTTGTCGTTTATTTACNCATTACATTTCGTCTTTATCTGAAAGCAAAGTTGTTTGATCGAAAATTGCTCGACTGCAATGACTTGTCTCCTCCACTCTCACTCAGTGGTCATAGTAGTAGCAAGTGCAGATTAAAAAGTCTGCCACACTACCCAACCAGTCTCAGCATAACATTAGCATATATATGAGATTTGAGACATTTTCTAATATTCTCCAGCAGGACTCATCTGTCATGGCCTGGTGATGAATTATAAAATGCTTGTTTAGGTGTGAGGGAGCTGGAAAAGTGGCAGTGTCCCACCTCTGCTGCTTATTATTTCCATAACCTTTACTGTGCCTAAAAAAGAAGAGGGAAAAAAAACACATTCAGAAAAAGATGGGTTTTTTTTCTCACAGACCATTTGTTGATACATGTGTGAACATGTGTCAGAAAGTTACAGCAGGTGTAAATGGAGACCGCAGGTGGGAGCTGCATGTTTAAGGTGAACGCAAGGAGTCTAAAGTAAATGTCAATATACTGAATGTGCTAACAGTTAATAGTTATAGATATGTTAGCTATAATGCTAATAATTAAATATAAGTGATTTGTGCACTAAAAAAGTGCTTAATTCAAATTCAATAAACCTAAACTTAGACTAAAAACATTAACAAAAATGTCCTTTAACTTTACTGCACTAGAATAAAATGGAATAGAGTGGCCATGATTTTCAAAACTGTTTTCAACTTTAGCAGAGGCAGAAAGAGGTACCAGCAAAATAAAATTTAATTTATTAAAATAAACTATTTCTCCACATGTTGTCTGTATAAGTCTGAACCTTTAATTCTCCAAAGTCTAAATGCGAGCTGTGTTCTGTCAGAGAATTCCTTGTTTGTGAAATATTTGAGGTGTCTGTTGTCACAACCCCCTCTAGTGTCCATGCACACACGTAGGCCTGTAAAAAAATACAAATAGGTTTAAAAGGGAAACATTTTCAAAATAAAACCCACACAGTTATTACCTTTATATCACAGTTTATGATCTGCCTTAAAACAGACCAACTGTCAGACAGAGAAGGCCAAACAAATGTCCACGTCCTGTTCTAATGGGTCAAAGGTCAAACATATTGAGTCGTTTCACCCATTGTCCTTACGTTCATGTTTAGCAAGTGTATGTTTACCGTTACTTGGTGACAAGACTAAATGCTTGGCAACCTTTTTGTTTGAAATAATTATAATAAAAATTAAAATGAATCAAAATTGTTTTTTATAGAAGTGTGTTGAAGACCTCGATTTTAGAAGTTCTTATTTAACAAAGTAAAAGCACAGGTTTTCAATAAAGGTTTGTGTACATTATAAAACTACAACTTCCAGTTTGGGCATTGGAATCTTTAGATTGTGTCATCATTATTGTCAGATTTAGGTGGTAAATTGAACTCATCTGAACAGCACAAGTCAAAGTGTGAACTACTGATCTACTGACATATTTAATGCTGAAATTCATGTGTACGTTTATATCCGAGCCACAAAACCCGTGGCGTACGGTGTTGTTTACAACCGTTGTACATAAATGTTTGTCAACAAGTTCTATTACAACTTCCACGATGTTCTGTACGTGGAGTTGGAGCGCCGCAGCTCACGCCATGACAGGGGAGGTGTAGGACATTATAAAGCTTTACGTTCCAGCTCCTTGCAAATATCCCGTGTCTTAATTAAATGAGTAAAAAGTGCAGCAGCCTGTGTCCTAAATTAATTGCTTTCTATTAGATTACATTATTGTAGATAGACTGGGCCATATTATTAAGACTGTTGTACATTCTTTACATTCAATTTCACCCCCCCCCTCCCCGAACATTATTAGGCAGAGAAATCACTCTCTCTTTCTCGTGCCGTCTCCCTCTCTTTCTTCCTTCTGTGAAATGCTTCAAAATTTCTGTCGTGATGCATTCTGCTCGCTTAATTAAAAGAGGCTAAAGTGCAGCGGCCTGTATCCCATCGCCATCAAATCCATAATTTACAGAGAAAACATTTACATAACTTGCTGTTAATACGACCCCACGGTGACTTTTCAATCCCGGCTAAGTGTGATCCCACAGAATAATCGCCGTTGCCTTTAAAATAAAAAGCAAAGAGGAGTAGGTGAGAACGAGGGGGAGGAAGAACAAAACGAAGATGTCGGTGTTAATTAAATGAACAAAAGTGCAGCGAGCTGTGTCTGAGCAAACAGCTAAAAAAATACAACCAACAACCTGCTCCAGACTTTCACTCAGTTCAGTTTTTAACATTTTCTCTCTCTTGTTTTATTGTAGAAATGAATGCAGTTCTCAAATGGAAACTCCTTGACGGCTGTCGACGGAAGAAAAGGTAAGAAATCCACCAGAGAATGGAGTGTATTTCTCCATCTTTTTTTTTTTTTGTTAATAAAAGGTCTAAGCTCAGCACTCCTGTATCCTATCTCAACTATTGCATCTATTGGATTGGATTATTTTACATTTTGATTGAAATGATGTCCACGCCAGATAAAAGCACAGACCCCAGCTGTTGTAATTGAATCAGGGTGGAGTTGTTTATTCGCTTGATCTACAGCGGTGATTCGCTTGTCCTAACACCCAATGCATAAAAGATCCACTCTTGTTGAACACACTGCTGATTAGATCTGTTTAAAATGGCAAAACAAGAGGCGTTTTTGTCCAGAGAGATGGGCAGGCATAACGGTGGGAGAGGCGGGGGAGGGAGGGGTGAGGACGAGTGGGGAGAAACACACGAGAGGGGAGAAAGGAGGATACAAGGGCGTCACACGCTTCCTAGCTTGATTGTGTTCAGCTGTGTGTGTGTGTGTGTGTGTCATCTCTGACTGCTCCTGGTGCACCATCTGCTTAACTTTTCATGTGTGACCAAAAACTTTCAATAAATGAATTTCACAAGTCACAGATACCAGATGCTCCAAAGCAAACATTTAAATAACCTTAAATGACGAGGTTGAGTAGATCCTTCACGTCCCTGTGGAGAATTTAATATTGCTTTTTTTTTTTAACCATTGAATCCCAGTGATACCCCTTTGATCCATAGTGACAAAAGCAGCAAACACACATACTGCATTTCTACTTATTTATTCCAGTTGATTTAGTCGCAGTGTAGACGACACGTTCATGAAATTAAAGCCAGATCTGGTGTGTCAGATATCAGTGTCGGATGTAATATTACACAACAGCGCCTCATACGTACGTACGTTGAGTCCAGCCTTATTTATGAGGACTTCTGTATAATGGATGGTTGATCATCAAATAATGACTCTTATCACTCTGGAGGACGAAACACATCCATCATGCTGGAAAAGAGGTGAACGTGCGTCCCAGCGTGAAAGGCCCGCTGATTTAAATATCACTCCTTGAGGCGTGTCACACACACACACACATATATATATTAAAAATAATAATCTGCTTAGATTGTGTGACTACAGCTACGTCAAGGGCGAAGACAAAGTCTCAAATGTGTTTACATTTTTGCATATCAAATATATGATAAGAGTCTGTTTTACACATAAATATTATTGTCATCTCAGGGCGCGCGGGTCATGTTGAAAATCATTATAATTCCTTGTGTATTTTGTTACAAATCACGTCTATGGAAATATTTAAATAAATCTTGCTGCTGTCTAGAGTCTGTTTGTAGCATTAAAGAAAATACCAATATATTTGTAAAAAACTGTGATATGCAGTAGTTTTGGGTTTTTGGAAGCATATCTGTATAGAGTGATTTTGATGAGCTGTAACTGAGTCCAGCTGACCTGTGAGTCCTCATGTATAAACGGCAGTGACCGTATCGTTATCGAACTTCTCTGTTTCAACAGAAAACGTTATGTATCAGTGGTGAACTTTACTTCAGAGACCAGACACTCTGTGACCTTTGACACTTACTGACAGTCAGATAGGGCCAACATTTGTAGCAGACCTGACTTCCTGTGTGCATTTCCTGCTTATTTAACCTTTGCATCTGATCATATCAATACGAGCAAAACAAAAAAAGCCTTTTTTTTTATATCCAGACACATGTTTAGAGTTTTTTTTTTTCCCATTTTAGTAGCTTCTGGGTCACCCCCAGTGTAATCAATCATCTCTATTAGCGGCCCATATCTCGTGCTCCGCCAGCCGTGACCCCCGGACAGCTGAGCTCAGATTTTATCGCAGCCCGCCTGCCACACTTTCAGTGACACCACCGTGTTGCTCTGGCTTTTTTGGAATTTGTATTAGCATTTTGCTGTTGAACAGTTGTTTTATTCTGCTGCTGCTTTGGCTGCAAACAGAGCTCATAAAGGTGAACCCAGAAGAAAGACAGACGATGGGGGGGGGGGAATCCTTATAGTTTTGGCTAACAGAAAAGTTTAGGACTTGCATGGTAAAACTGAGTTTTGATTGATTGATTTGCAGCTCAAGGATATCAAGGCCTGCGAGTTCTATTCAATTCAGTGTTGTTGTTGTTGTTTTACATCTACTGAGTCCTGCCCACCAAACCATCAAATCCAGGTCATGACTGAAATCCAAAATAATCATATATATAAAAAAAGGAAAAAACCTCAGTCTTAGAATTTACACTAATGTAAACTTAGACATGATCACGTTGCCCCCAGGGGTGTCAGACTCAATTTGGTGTTTTTTTTTTATTTATTTTCAAAATTCATCAAGCGGGCCAGATTGAACACCCACACGGGCCAGTTTTGGCCCCCAGGCCGTATGTTTGACACTCTTGATGTAGAGCAGTGGTGGAGCAGCTCAGGTTAAACACAGATGACTATGACCCATCAAATTTTTTAAAAATTTACATTCGGGTCACGACCCACCATTTTAGAAACAGAGTGGTTTGAAATCATGCTAATTTAAAACATGCAGAAATGTTCGTGAGGTCAAGGGAGGTGAAGCACGTTTTCCTTTGTATTGTGTAGATTAAAGTTAAACTCCATTAGTTACTGTGTTTCACTGCTGTTTCATACCAGTCACCACCATCAAACACAGTGAGAGCAGACTCACACACAGACATCAGCCCGTGACCCTCTTTTCCCCTCTGTTTTATCAGCCCTCACACACAAATCACACACATGCACGCACACGGGGGGGTGAAAAAAAATTACAAAGCAATAATGTGGAAATGTTAACAGCTCACAATTAAAAATGTGATTTATGTTCCGTGCAGCTGTTAAATGACACCGCGGCCTGACTATATCGATTTCCATATCATTAGCATAATAGTTTTATTGTGGTATAATTACTAAATAAAAAGGCTCCTACCTGGCAAACCTCACCGCAATCAGAGGCTCTTAAACGAGCAAAATGTTGCCTCACACAAGTAACATGGGTCAATTGCAGGCGGGGATAGTTGGGGGTAATGATTAGATCATTAAAATTTAGTCTATGCTTCACAGAGCATAGAGAAAATTAACTTCTCCCCACCAAGCTCATTTTTCTGCTGAACATGAAATAATGATTTTCTGCCAGTATAATTACAAAGCTAACATCTGATAGAGTCAGCATCCAGGGGGGATTATCACATGCATGAGTATTAGACCTCATTACCAGCTTGACTGCAAAATTATTACATCTTGTAATTGGATGGCGAGATTTATACACAGATTGGGCCAGGGTTCCTCGGTAAGATTGTAATTACAGGCTTCGCTGGTTCGCTACTTATCACAGTGCAGGCAGCGGGGAGGAGGGCTGGGAAGAAAAAAAAAACTTGCAGGGAAGAGGAGAAGGAAAGACTGTTTCATTAAGCAGGTCTACCCTATCAATGGCAGAGTGGCGTTGCGTCCATGCTGCATGGATGGCTGGGGCGAGTGGGTAACATCTTCCCGCTCGTTCTCTATTTATGAGGCCAAATAGTGGATGTGTTTGCAGATGGAGGGAGGGATGGCAGACTCGCCGGGTGAGGAGGGGCATTTTATTATAAGCAAGCCACCCTTTTTTTTTTCTTTACCGCTGCTGCCTCTATTATCTAAAGTCTAAGTGTTAAAGTGAGCCATCTGCCAGTGGGGAGACCATTGATTTAATAGTTTTTCCACTGACGGAACGAAGGGGCCTCACTTCATGCCTAAAGAAAAAGACATGACACACAGTTCCCTCATTGAACTTGGGTTCAAAGAGTAGTCAAAGGGCGTCTGTGTGCATGCTGCGGTTTCTGTTTCCTAATGCACTCCTCATACGTCCAACACGCCAAATAATTATCTGTGGAGTAAAAGGAGTAGAAGTTAAAAAAAATAAATTAGTTAAAATCAGTTGTGTTTTGTTTTCAAAATGTTTTGAGCTAAATTTTATTTTTATTTCTAAAATACAACATTGTGGTGAGAAAGGGTTGATCTAAATCATCCAACATGTCCAATGATATACAGAAAACAAGCTCATAAACAAAAGTCTGTGGCATTTTTAAATTTTGTTGTGATCTTTAACATCTCGGGTCCAATCTCGGGTAGAATTATCTGATTTTTTTTATGTCAGGCTAAATATGCAGAACTTGGCAGTTTGTCTAATGTTTCTCTGGTTGGATTATATATATGTGTATAATGTATTTTAGGGCTGTGTGTTTTGTGGAGCTGTTGTTATTAAAGTACATTACAGTCCACTGTTGGATCAGTGTCGGCATCTCTGTTTGCTAACGCAGCCGTTTAAGTTGATGTAGACAGGAGTCTCTGTGTCTATGACACATCGTGCAAAACTGACATGTCTTTAATAATAAAATTACAATCAACAATAACGACAGAATACAGACAGAGTAGATCTGTAAACCCTTGTTTTAACCTTTTCCCATTTACAGAAAAATAACATTTTTTTGACAACTTTAATTATAAGTCAGATAAGAAACTGCAGCAGCTGTGTCTTTAAAATCCATCCCTGAGTATTTGCAGTTTTCACGGACAGCCAACCTCGGCCAATAATCGCCTGCTGCTAACAGTGTGAGCGTTATTGGCAAGTAGATGAGATAAAATCCCTTTAAGTGACACTCAATCCCTTCATGAACACCAGCTACAGAAGACACGGCTGACTCTAATGAACACTGACCTCATGTATTGAACCACCTGCAGCAGCACACGTGTGGATTTAAACACTGCTGTGTCGTCGACAAGAGTTCACAAGGAGTTGTTGGAGTGTGGCGGCGGATATATAAATCTGCTCATTTGGATTATTGATTATTCTGCTGCGACACGTTCCGTTTATAGTCGTGTGTTACAACCTCTCAAAGGCGGGGATCATTGTCTTCTCCCTGACTAATTCTTCCTCTTCACTAGTACTTTTTGTAATTATGTACTTTTTGCCATAGATGTCTATTTGAGAAAGATGATATTTTTCTAATAATGTGTTGATCTGCATTTAGACTCA